GTCTTCCTAGAGTATCCAGCACTTGCCTCCTGTTCTCTGGGTTCAATTAGCATGATATCAACAATATAGAGGACTTCATGACAAGCAAGATTCCTACAGGACTCGATGTTAATGGAGAGTGGGAAGGTTGTCTAGCCCTAGAAAAAGGTAGTGAATGCATTCAGAAGTCATTTCACAAAGAAGCAATGTGTTTTGTTCTGTTTAACCAATGGGGCATTTGCCAGCTCAATAACCATATAACATATATGAAGGGCTATTTTTATCTATTTTCATAAAAATACCACAATTGGCACAATAGCATCTACTGTTGGAGCCACAACTTGGACATTGTCTACCAACATACATCATGATCCACCTAATTTTTTCAAGGGCTAAAAATGAATTGAATGGGTATATGATGGAGGTTGTTAGATCTACATTTTTTAAGTCTTTGCTGGTAGTGCAATCTTCATTTTCTCCCAGGGTGCAAATGCTTCCAAATTACTGTGTTAGACCGAGAAAAAGAGATGATTTCAGGAGCTTCCACTTGGCCTTCCTACCAAAAGAACTTTTATCTATGATACGAGTTCTATCAGTTGCTAAGCATGTTAATACCAATTATGCCTCACAGACCCACTGGACACGCTATGAGACAGACTTTGGCCAGAACTCCTCTTATCACCTGGCCTCCACTTTGAATGCTTGCTGTCAGTGTCATTTTAGTCCTTGTGTCAAACAGCCCTTGAATCTGGTAATTCATATTGTACAGTGTGCTTGTCCTTGGGTAAGTGGTTTTTGGTCCCTTAGGGGATATATTGGGAAACACATTGTAGATAACTCATGGTGACATTGTATGATGCATCTGGGCATGAGGTTACTCTTGTTAGTGCAATTAGTGTCAGACTTTTGCTCACTAGTTCTTCTGTTTGTTTTCATGGTTATGCAAGGCAAACAATGCTCTTAGATACACACCTGTCTCACCCTGAGGAATACTTTGATTATAAGCCTGTGCGCCAAGTTGCATTTGCTGCCAGTTTTGGTAAATACATTCACCTTGCTTCTGTTGGCTAAATGCTGTCACCAGGCTTCTGATCTTCTGAAATCCTATTACCTCTGTTGTCCTTATTAATAGTTATCTTAGTTCCCTAGAAGCATCTTCTACTTTAGCCTTGCCTTATGGAGGACATTAGCTTCTCAGAGATACCAATTTCCTTCTCACTAGGGTATTCTGTATTGCCTTATTGATGGTAGTGCCCACCAAGCCTTTGTAGGGAACATGGACAGGTGAGGGTGTTTTGTTCTCACATAACAAATTCATTCTAAAAATATCATCTCCCTAAGGCTTCTGATAACTTCCTTGATGTTCTGTCAAGGCCATTTTAGTATGTGTGCTCCATTTACTGTAGACTTTCTGCATTCAAGCTTCAAGGAGCCGTCTCAGTAGGGCATTGACACTGGCTGCAGATGCCTCACTCCACTATTAAATTCTGAATTGTGGAGATAGCTCCTATGTCACTAAACCCTCCATTATCCAGTCTAATATTTTGTCCCCTTCTCCCCTCAAATCCAATACTTGCTGTATTCACTCCTGTATCTCATAGTTGCTGTTGGTTGTTACCAGCAATATCTAGTAATACTTCATGTGACTCAGCTATGTCCTCCCCAAAGGAGGCACTGCACTTCCCCATTCAGGCTATACTGAGAGCTGAGCCTAATTTTTGGTCTGGAGGCAATAAAGGGAGATTGGAGCAGACCTTGAGGACAAACATGATTTGTCAGGTACCTGTCTCTGATGAAGTTTTTTCATGGTTTTCAGGTAAAGAAAAATTGTTCTCCTGATCAAAGGGAAGGGGTTGCTTCTACCAGCCCAAAGGGCTCAAAGAAACTTAGGGGTTCATGGTTCCTGGTATTGCCCACACAATTGTCCCCTTCCTAGATCTCAGGGTCCTTTTCCTCTTCTATCAGGGTACTGACTTTAGCATAGAGGCCTGCCAAGGGTATACATTTAATTACCTTTGCAGCCCTGCCATGTTTGTCATTAAATCCTGAACTGATGTTTAGCAGTCTTTCCTGTGGCTGCAAGAGATGATGGTCCCTTTAAGTACTGATGTAAAGGCTTTCCAGCTCTTGCATTGAGTCCCGAGTTGATAGCTGGCTGACCATGAAAGTTTTTTAAAAAGCCAGCAAATTTCCTCATTCTTATAAGTACCATTGTCCTTTTCCCACTCAAGTGTCAGAGCTACCATGCACACTAATGTTTCATGTTCATCTTCTAGCACCCACAGGTAAGAAAAGACTTAGTAACTGTGATGGCATAGCACACCAGGAAGTACTCCTGCTGTCATCTGAATGGGAAGTGACCCACTTCCAGAGACCTGAGAGGCTGCATTTGAGGCTTTCTTCTTACACTAGCTTTACTGACTTTGGTTTTGGTAAAAGCATAAACTAACAGACTACTTCAGTGTAATCAGATCATTTGGGTGGTGATCCTAGTGAGAAGCAGTGAGGAAAATAGGAGAAAAATATAAAAGATGATACAAAAGTATGTTATCGAAGTTGCTGCTATGGGCAACCAGAACTCAATTTCACCAGGACCACTTAATAAGCCCGCAAATAGCTTTACAAAATTGTCTTGCTAAGGGAAGTTATAATTAGCCTTTGGTGAGGCAAGGTGAATTTTCACAGATCAGTTATTAGCAGCGTTCCTATTTTAGTTATGCTTTTAGAGATCAGCATAGAAACATTACTGTAGATTGGATTACTGCCTTGTCTGAAGCCTCTGTTTATTTTGGTTGACTCTGCTTGGACTACTCTTTCCTCCCCTCTTTTCCCCATTCCAAACCCATTTGAATCCTCCTTCCTCATCATTTTGGTTTTGCCTTCTAAAGGAAGCTTTCACAATCCACTAAAGCCAATATTTACTTCTTCTGAATTTCCATTCTACTATCTTAACACTCATTTGGCACTTAATCTTGATTGTTCACGAAGTATTGACTGAGTGCAGACTGTGTCCAAAGCACTCTGTTCTTGACGATGGCAGTAGAGTTGTGAATAAATGAGACAAAATTTCTGCTCTTGTGGAACAAAATTACAATAGCACAAAAGAAGTAGGGAAGACAGACAACAACAAATATGTAGGAAGTGATCATGACTGCTATGAAGACAAGTAAAACAGAGTGAGGACAGTGAGTGTGTGTGTGTTGTGGGGGGTGAGTGTGTGTGCCTGCAGGGGTTAGCTCTCCTAAACAGGGTAGTCAGGGAAGAACGGTCTGATCAAGTCACCTTTGAGCAGTGGCCCGAGGAAAATGAAGAAGTATGTCTGATGGACATCAGGGAGGGCAGCGTTCCAGGCAGAAGGAACAGTAAGTCCAGAGTGCTGATGCTTAATATGCCTGAAGGTTGAATGGCCTTTGAAGAGTAGCTGTGGATATGGTCTGTCTACATCAAGTTCTTTCTTAGAAGCCACAATAAGGGTTTTGAACTTTAATCTGAGTAAAACAGTAAATCATAACAGATCTTTCAGCAGAAAAAAATGTATATTGTTCACAGGTTCTGAAAGGATCATTGCAGCTGCTGAATGAATTTGGATATAGAGAAAAAGGGAAGTAGAAAGACCTGTTAGGTTACTGCAATTACACAGGCCTGCGTGGATGGTACCTTATGATACCTCTCGTACAGTAAATTTTTTTTACACCAACTTTTACTTTTCTTGTTATGTGTATCCATAACTCCTTGACAGCAGGGAGCTCATACTGTAATTGATGGATCATGTATCTGACCTATGTACATGTCTATTTAACAGGGGCTCAATTACTGTGGTTTAAATGCCTAAGTAGTATTAAATCCACATCACTGAAAGCCTTTGTCATTTGCTATTTCTGTAAGAAACATATATTCTCCAAGCCTTCATTTCAACATTTGTAAAACCCTGATAACACCTACCTATCCGAATTGGTAAAGATTAAATGAAAATTCCTAGCCATACCCACCATTTACAATGGAAGGTATCTGTCATGCTTCAACAGAAACCCAACACCCAATACAAAACACAAATGCTCCTTCTGTATAATGCCTGTGAGATTTTAAAAGCTGTACATAACTGGCTGGATTCTAACCTACATTAATACAATTCATTCTTTTCTGGGTATTCAAAGCATGCACTCAAAAATGTTCCAGCTTTGTTATAGCAATCTTTGCCTTCCACATCATTTTAGTGTTAACTAAAACAACTCACCACCTATTCATCCCCTCTTGGCTTTTCACATCATCACATCCCAGTAATTGTAGATGTAGCCCTAAACTCAGGGTAAATGTTTAGGAGTTTGATGGCAGGTCAGGCGGTGGGATTTACATTCTGGGCTGTAAGTGACACTGTCAAAACAATGACGGTGATACTTCTGTTATGTTACAAGGACCTGGGTTGTAGTAGCTACAAGCTGAATTATAACGTAAGAGGAAACCCAAGTGTTTCTTCAGTCCACTTACACCGGAAAGCAGGTGCGAGTCCGGCAAGGACATGGAAGCACAGAAAGATATTGTGACTTTACCCCCCCTCATCGGGATCAAGCACAGGGAAGAGGGAACACCAAAGGTTTCTAAATGCGAGTTCAACTTTCTCCACTTGGCCTCCTTATCAAATTTCAGCGCAGGGCCATTGGCATGGATGTCTCCTCCCGCGTGGGCGCCCACGGGGCTGAGGAAGCGGGGAGTCCAGGGCGGCTGTGAACCAGGGAGGTGATGGAGACTCAGAGCTCGGACCCAGGAACAAGCAGAGCGACGATTGGGGCAGGAGAACACTCGACCCGATCGGCGATCGCCGCCTCCACGCCACTTTTAGTGGGTAAAGAAGCGCAGTCTTCGCACGGTTGGGCCCACCTGGGCGGCGCTCTTCCCGCGTCGCGTCCCGGAGAAGAGAGCATGCGCGAGAGGTAGCCCTGCCCCAGCCACCCGCGGCCAGGGCCGGCCAGGAGGCGGGGCCGCGCATCTGCGCAGGCGCGCAGGGACACATAGGCGGAAGAGGCGCGCCAGCGCCGGTCAAGCGAGGACCTTTGCATGGAGGTGGCTGCTGTGGCGGAAAGTGCAAGAGTAGGCCGAGAGGAGAAGCAGGAGGTGATGGCGATGGCCCTGGGGAGGGGGAGACGCTTTGGCCGGCGCCACCCAGGCTGGGGTCATCCTTCCAGGTGACACACCAGTCAGGAGTGGACGTGCCGCCCGGGCCTTTCGCCTAGTTTGGGACCCAGACCTCCTCTCCCCAAAGAACCTCTCCTCATCCAGAAAGAGCGTGCGGGGAGAGGAGGGGTCAGGGTTGAGAGCACGGGTGACGTCCCTGTATAAAGAGCGGCAGCCTCTGGTCACGGTTTCCAGGAGCAGCGTCTGCTGCTCTTTGCCCCTTTCCGCCCTCAGGCTGGGGAGACCTGCCTGCTGCCCGGGTCTGTGGACTCGCGGGCCTGCGGCCGCTTACAGGGCGCCCTGTCGCCCTCCGCAGAGGTATCAGTCGCCCGGGGTCCCCGGGACTGCGTTTTCGTTAAAAGCGGCTTCCGGGTTCTGCGTTAAGCAGGGTACGCCGCTGCCCCTTTGATTTGCAGTGCAAGGCGATCGATCCTACCAGGAAGTCGGCCACAGACTTCCACTAGAAGCTCCGCTGAGCTTCCAGTCTTTGCAGCGTATTATCTCCCCCACCTTTTGCTTTTCTTGTAAATATTGAATGAAGGTCCAATGGTTGGGTGTGCTAAGGGGGTTTTGTTTTGCTTTTAGTGTTGGGCATATTCTTCTACAGTAGGGTATCAGATGTCAAGAACTGATTTTTGGATAAGCATTTTCTAAATGAATTGGGATAGTTTGGGACTTGGAAGAGAGAAATATAGCTGCGTTTGAAAATACTTTAAGTGTTTTTTATATATATATAAACATTATATATATATATTCCTAAGTTTAGCTTTCTCCCTTGGAAAAAAGAAGAGTAACCTTCAAAAAGCACAGTTTCTTGAACTTTGGGTAATGATGTATGTACAAAGAATTGACACAGAATGTTGTTATTCTCTGTTTTATAATCACATCCCACAGGTCACAATTAATGTCTGGAGTCCAGTTAATCTAAATATAATGGCAAGATTCTTTTACTTTTATTAACGAGTGTAACAAAACACAGAATCAAGCTTATTTCAGTAACTTACACTGAAATGACATAATTTCCTCATATGTTACCCTTTTGTCTGGGAGACTTATAGGTTGGAAAAGACTAGATTAAGAGATTGAAATAATTTGACTTTAGTAGGTCATTGTAAATCGACAAAACTAATTATTTATAATTTTTTTAAATGTCACTATGTGCTAGAAATGCTACCTTTTTATTCAGTTTTAGCAGTTATTTGTGACTTCAGGTAACTAAAATTAAATATCTGTCTTGACTTCAGTAAGAGGCTTCAGGCAGTGATTCACAGCTGTGGGTTTTTTGTACTTAGTTTCAAGAGTTACTGTGAACTAGAGCAAAGCAAAATGTTGATCATTTCATTTGAAAACTACTGTTAGCTTTATGCTTGATTTTGTTTTTCCTGCACCATAAGGACATTGGCCTAATTTCTTTTAAATGTTGATCAATACTATTAATGGCGGAAGTGGAAGGGATATGGCAAACATTTAGGATCACAGTTATTGGGTGTCAGAGCTCACAGGGTCTTCCTGCATCAGTCACATGATCTGACCAGTCATGTTCTGATTAATAAAACTGCATTCTAAATGCAAAGCCTGAAAGGGCAGGTTTTCTGGTGCTGGTACCTCAATTAAGCAAAGGAAATTAGTTTATTTCCATATTCATTTTAGATGCTTTGTGGAAAATTTCAGTAGGGATGTTAATATTTTGGCACAGATGTCCAAGAAGTAACAGTGCTGGAGGGATTTAACTGCATATCTGACATAGATCTGTGGCTCATAAGATTGCCAATAGGCATGTTAGAAGTGGCAAGGTATTAGAAGAGATATACTATTGAGGAAACAGTGTTTACTAAAGTGTAGTAGAGTCCTTCATTTAATGTTACACTTTAAAGTTTACAGTTGTGAGTAAGCAAAACACAGTTTATTCTTGTATTATTATTTATTAATTGTTTTATTTTCCATACGAACAACTGTAAACCTACTTTTGCCCCACCCTATATACATGCAAAGAAAATCGATAGTCATCTATGGAGCCTTCTTGATTTTTTTGTGCAGACTAACAAAAAAGGATGTGTTTCCCAGCTTTTTCCAATCCCAAAGACTTTTTTCTTTTGTTTTTTAAACAGCTTTATTGAAGTATAATTGGTATTTTAAAAAAGCCTGCACATTTACTATATACAATTTGATGAATTTGGATATATACATATACCTGTGATACCATCACCATAATCAAGGTAATAAACATTCTATCACCTCCAAAAGTTTCTTTGTGTCCCCTTTCATGTGTGTTTGTGTGGTTAAGAACACTTAACATGAGGTCTACCCTCTTAACAGATTTTAAGTGCACAACACCATATTTTTAACTGTAGGCACTATGTTGTATAGCAGATCTGTAAAACTGATTCATCTTGTTTAACTGAAACTTTACACCCATTGAACAACACCCCCAAAGACTTTCTAAATTAAAGTGATTTTCTCCATAGAAAGAAAACTTTTTTCACCTAACAGATGCTGTTGCTAAAGCATGTCATCCTTTCTGTAGTCTGATAAGTCTAGTTTTCTGAGTAATTTACAGTTGTTTGATTTTAAGTGTCATTAACAAATATATTTTACATTCGTCTCAGTGTGTAGAGTAGCATTGGTTCTCTACTCTTCTGCAAATAAGGATTGACATAAATATTAAAGATGTCATGGGCTTTAAAAATTATATCCTTAGTCCTGGGTGGTTTGGCTCAGCGGTTAGAGCGTTGGCCCACAGACCGGAGAGTCCCCTGTTCGGTTCCTGCTACGGGCAGGTACCTCAGTTGCAGTTTGTCCCCGACCCCAGTTGGGGTTGTGTGGGTGGCAACCACTCGATGTGTCTCTCTCGCATCGATGTTTTCCTGTCTCTTCTCTTCCTCTCTTTCTCCTTCCCACTCTATCTGAAGATAAATGCGGGAATGTCCTCGGATGAGGATTTAAAAAAAAAATTATATCCTTATTATATTTAAAAACATAAAGGCATATTTACTTCTTTGATGAAATAAATACAGGGTTAGCTTTTGGTTTGTTGCTGTAGAAATGAGAATGGCATATGTTTAATGATGTATTGGTCTTTATAAAGTGAAGTTAAATTGGAGAGTTGACATTGTTTTTGGTTGATTGGAAGCTTGAATAGGGGAATTAATATATTAATATCCAGAGACAATGAGACTTACCTATATAATTTTTAAAGTGTGATTTGAAATATTTGGAGCCTAATACTTTATAATCCAAATGTTTTGCTTAAAGGCTCTATTTCCTTCTTTAGGACATAGCTCGGCAAGCAAAAGAAAAACTGAACAAAGAGGAAACCAACAAAGATACCTTTGGAAGCACTGAATGTGGCAAAATAAGAACAATGGATCTCAAGTTCAACAACTCCAGGAAATATATTTCTATAACTGTCCCGTCTAAAACCCAGACAATGTCACCACACATCAAGTCAATAGATGACATTGTAGTACTTGGCATAAATCTTAGCAAATTTAACAAACTTACTCAATTTTTTATATGTGTTGCTGGAGTTTTTTTATTTTACCTCATTTATGGATATTTACAGGTAAATAGTTATTTGTTTATGGTAATTATTTATAACAAGGTCAAAAAGAGCACATTATAGTTTGTTCAAGATATTTTTCCTTATTATAAGTTACTGATTTATTCACAAATTTGAGCTTTTCAGTATAGTAATAGAAAAGGGCTTCCGAAAAGTAAGTGCTGAAAACAGGTCACAGTTTCGAAATTTAATATTTTAAGTGAAGGAAAGGGAGCAAAGGCAATCTTAAATAATTTAAATTATGAAAAAATTTGAAATATTTAAATGTAGATAATTGCAAGCATGTGTTTATTTTTATTTTATTATTATTTTTTTAATCCTCACCTGAAGATATTTTTCCATTGATTTTTAAATAGAGTGGGAGGGAGGAAGGCAGGGAGAGAGAGAAAGATATGGATGTGAGAGAGACAATCGATTGGTTGCCCCTTGACCGAGAATCAAACCCATACACCCATAGCCCTTCAGTCTGCAGACTGATGCTCTAACTGCTGAGTCAAACCAGCCAGGGCTATTTTAAAAAGTGAATGATTCAAGTATTGATTGGAATTTTGGAACATAATTCTCCAATAAAATTGGATGATAGCATGATAGCACAAAAGCCATATTCCAGTTCATTCTTCATTCTTGGAGCTTAATAACAGGTCATTTTTGAAAAAGCATATCAAGATGTTTTATATTTTTCCAAGGGTATCTCTTTTGTTCTGTGATCATTAAGTCTTTTTTTTTAAAAAAACACCTATTATGTTTTTATTCTTGTTGGTTTCTTTTTCTATTCTAACTTTGCCAGAACCTTATTTTTTTGGAATTGGAATTTTTTTTTTTTTACCTGTGCCAAACATTTCTTACATTGCCACAGTTTGGCTCACATTTGCACTGTACTGTGGTATAGTTGTATAAATTTGACTAGCAGTAAATTCCTGACCTTCAAAGATATTGTCTGCAGGGGAGGTCTAGGCTAGTGTAAACAGAATGTTTGAATGGACTAATAATTATTAATGGTCAATTTATTAGTATTTTCAGCCATTACTAACTTTGCTTTTTTTATGCAATCCCTAACATGAGAGAACCTTTCAAATTCAAAACAAGGAAAGTGATGTGTTTTTTTTCAAACACAGATATTTCTGGTATCCTGTAGTGTTAATCAAAGAGAGCTTAATCATTGTACTCTTTTTTCATTGTCTTAAAGAGATGACATATAAAATGTAAGTATAAAGAAGGTGATTTGTGACTATTCCTTAGCTTATAAAAATATTATGAACAGTATTATGTAAAACAAAAACATACATTAAAAATCTTAATTATAATAACTGATTTACCCACTTCAAAATGGTATCAAAATTCAGATATCACAGTGAAGAACAGTAAAATCCAGTACATTTTTATCAAATAAAGGTTAGAATTCTTGCTGAAAAACATTTTTTTCTTTAAAATATTGTTCAACAAATAGCTTGAGAGCAAAGTTAGTCATTGCAAAGGAAAATAAATTAGAAATTTACTGTATAAATTTCATTAATTTTTTTCTATTAATGATCAGGGATTTTAATTTATAACTAACATGCAAAGTTTCTTTTAAAATTAGGTAAATTGCTATAATCATGTTTGTAACGTCACTATCACTGTGAAAACTGACATTGTTATTAACTTACGTATAATTGCATGTTAAAATACTTTAAAGAAAATGGTTGGAGTTTTATAATGAAGTTTACTGTATATATAATCTGAATGCCAAAATACTTAATAAAGCTATTTTCATGTTTTATAGTTCATAAACCAGAAAAATTCTAAATACTTTGTAGATGTACTTGAGATGAAATCTAAATTTGAGGAATTATACAATATCCTAAATGTACCGAATCCAGTTCAGGGTCTGTTTAGAAGCTATGTTTAGTTTTTCTTTAAAAAGAAATTTGTGCATAAATTTCATCTTTTAAAAATACAGTTGAAATATATATATATGAGGAAATTTTGATTTTTTTAATTAAGGAAAATAATTTTATTAGAACCCCTCTTAATGACTTGTTAAGAATGTCTTATTAAGAATTAATGTAAATGTTACTTCAGCCCTGGCCAGTTTGGCTCAGCGATTAGAGCGTCGGCCTGCGGTCTGGAGAGACCCGGGTTCGGTTCCCGCCAAGGGCACGAACTTCGGTTGCAGTTTGTCCCCGGCCCTGGTTGGTCGTGCGGATGGCAGCCACTCGATGTGTCCCTTCACGTCGATGTTTCTCTCTCTCTCTCCCTTCCTCTCTCTCCCTCCCACTCTATCTGTACAAAAAATGGAAAAATATCCTCGGGTGAGGATAAAAAAAATGTTACTTCATGGTATAACATTATGTTTAGGCAAAGTAATCATTTCCTCTACCAGAAGAAGTGTTATGTAATCTGTGGCACAAGTATTCAAAAAATAACATTAAATTGATTTGAACTGATTATAGTTCTATACAAAAACAGGCCTGAGATAATAGACTTCTTATGAAATATGCTTTTTGAATAGTAAATGAGCTCTTAAATCAGCTACCTTTCTCATTTTGGGGGCAACTTTTTTAACTTTGGTCTTTTAAAAAAGAGAGAGAGAGAGAGGAAGGGCTCTGGCCAGGATGTTCAGTTGGTTAGAGCATCATCCCAATACACCAAGATCGCAGGTTCAGTCCCTGGTCGGGCACATGTAAGAATCAACCACTGAATGTGTAAATAAGTGGAACAACAAATCGATGTTTCTCTCTCTCTCTCTTTCCCTTCCTCTCTCTTTCTAAAATCAATAAGTTAAAAAAAAGAAAGAGTAAAAAGCATACAATAATGTTGCTTCATAGCTATCCCTCACCTTTTTAAATTTTCTCCTAATTTTCATACCTGGATATCTAGTGTCACTTATTTGGAAAAGTTTCCTAAGTTCTCTAATTAGAGAAGTTTCATGATTTGAGTATATTTTTAAATGTTGTGTTTATAGGAATTTATTGTGAGGAAATTGGTCTGCCTCTTGAACTTAACAGTATTCATGTATCTTTTGACAGGAATTAATATTTTCAGTGGAGGGTTTTAAGCCCTATGGCTGGTACCTTACTTTAGTACAGTTTGCATTTTACTCCATATTTGGCCTAATAGAACTTCAGCTTATTCAGGACAAAAGGAGAAGGTATGTGGTTTGTTTGTTTTTATGTTTGACAGTTAAGTTCACTAGAGGTAGTTAATTTTTTTTTTTTTGCTTTATGGGCATACAGAGTGTATTATACATGAAGTATACATTTTCCATTAATAAAACATATCTAACACCCAAGCAATTTTATTAGTATAAACAACTCATTTAAAATATTAAATATAATATTTTCATTATACATTGAAAAAAGGAATCTCTAAGTGTAAGTTATCAAATAAAAACATAGTTTAAGCACAACTTGTAAATATATCTTGAAATGAGAGAGTATTCAGATGTACATGTGTGTTTTTGTAAATTTCACTGAAATAGGTGTGATTATTGAAAGATTTACAATGTTACTACATCAAAGTGGTGAAATGAAATACCAATACCTGTTTTTATAGTGGCTTTTTAAAATTTATAGTTATGTTTTGTTTTGTGAGATATATTTCACTTAACATTGTCATATTTGTAATGTCCAGTGGCTGAGATTGCATTCTTAGATATCAGAAATGTCATAACATTCCTTTTCATCAAAACCAAAGGAGCTTGTTTGATAGTATATTTTAAATTGGCCATCTAGATTGTAGAAATACTTCCATATTACTGGTATTTAGAACAATATGCAATAAAACCTTACCCCTGATTATAATTAGAACATGGTGAGGAAATTGAATATAAGTTTTTGGTAAATGTAAGTGTGGTTATCCTGACATATTAGAGCCTAATATGTGAATATTTCACATATATATTGGGCAGTTTAAAATGTAATAAGGAACTCTCTAATACTACTGTACTGATATTCTGTCTTCATTGTTATACATGTTTAATTCTCCAGTGAAAATAAAAAAATTTCACCGCTTTTATTTCTTACATAAATGTTTCTGGTGTTTGTATGAAGATAGCTAAAATTTTAAGTATTTACATCTGTATCTTCAGTATTTCTTCATGGGCCTGATTTTACCTGTCATCCTCTCTATATTGCCAATAAATTATTATAGCTGTGATATTTAAAATGTTTGAATTTGAAAATGTTTTCTTCATTATTTTCATGATCTGAAATGCTACAAGACTTAGCCATAGGTGATAGGATAGAAAATAATTAAATATATCCATCAAGACTAATACATAAGGAACTCTGATGATTCATCACCTATTGCAAACTGCTGGACTTCTGTTGCTTCTAAAGTGAAGTAATCTAATCCTGTCTCTATTAAATGAAAAGTGACAAAGAAGCTGCATCTCCTTGACATTAAATTTTAAAAAGATATGCCTCCCTTTCAGCTACTCAAATGAGATGGAGAGTGGGGCCCAACCCATGTTTATCCCAACCTTTCAACCACATGATCATACATATTTAAAGTCAGTATCATCTGTGTTTGATCTAAATGTAAGTGAAGGGATTTGATAGAAGAATGTATAGATGTATAATGAATATGAATTGAAACCTTTTCATTCCAAGGCACATAAAAACTATTTAGAAAAAGTCTTTGAAAGTTTGTTACAATGAAAATATACCTAATCTTGTATTTCTGAATTTATTTCTGAGTATATACCATTTCAGAATTTAAGCTCATTAGACTTTTGCTTAGTTTTTGTGATTCTACCTTTGTTTTTATGAATACCAGTGTACTTGAAAGAGTACAGGATTTGGAGCTAGAAAATAGGGCTCTGAGTCTTGTACTGCCTGCCTTTTATTAGCTCAGTCAAGAGCTCAAGGGAAGTTTCTTAAATTCTCTGTTTTATTTTGAGGATCAAATATGGTCATGTGTAGTGAAGCCCATCACTACTTGTTATTTTTCAATAAAGATTACTTTACAACTTTATTAATTACTTTATGTGAGTTTTTAATAAAGGAGATCTGTCAAATTGGGATGTTAAATAAAAACAGAAACAATGGGAGTCCTAGAGACAGGATGATGAGCTCTGCACTTCCTCAGGTAGGATGAGAAAGCAGACCTAGAGGAGTGCTGGGATTTCTGAGATCATTGAGCAAGTTGCTGTCACATTTGGAGCCTTTTGAATTTAGGTTTCCTGAGTTTCAGGCTGGCGACTTGTTTGTTTTCTTCTACCTGTGCTATGCTGCTTTTCTAATCACCATTCCTTGTGATTTTTCTGGCTTGAATTTTTTATTTTCTGGCCACTGTTTTACTAATATGACATCTATCCTTACCTAGAAAAGCAGAGCTCTCCTGCTTCCCTTCTGATATCCACTGAGGGTTAAACCCCACGAACAGCACAAAAGTCAGTGTGTGTGCACTCTGATGCATACAAGCATGCCAAGTCATTTTCTTGTGGATTTTAAATGTTGACCACTGTATTAGTAGTTAAGTAGGAAAGGCCTCAAAATTGAAATGTAAGTGGAAATGATGCATTCTAATTGAATTTTTTTAGTAAATTATTTTGCTTTACATCTAGCAATATAAAAATATGAAAGAATTTTGTTGCCTTGATTTAAACATGAACATAAATCCCAAAATAGAAACTAGATCGAAGGAGGCAACATAATGTAATTACATGAAAAGTACTTCCTGTGTTAGTCACACCAATGTACAAGATTATTTTAGAGTACTAACTGGTCAAAGTGAGCATATGCTCTTAATGATAGCTCAAAATTCTGAAGATGCTAAATCGATAATTTCCTTTAGAAAGTCCAGACAGAACTCAAAGTAGAAGATTTGGGACCATAAGGAGAGAGTCAGATTACTCATCAGAAAAAGTTGATTGCTGTAACATTTTAAAGAATGCAGACAGAGATGACTCATAAGATAGTATAGTAATAAATATTATGTCCAGAGTTTTAAATGTACTTTTTCTAGAGAAATTCTGCTCAGGTTACTCTAGCAGAATGGATGGATGTATTTTTCCTAATGCTAGATGGAAACATTAAGAAACAGAACAATTTAGAAGTTATAAATTAGTGAAGGTGCCTTTTACCATTATAGAGGCCAGAATTGTTTTTAATTTTAATTTTTTTCTAAATTTAGTCAACATAGTTTTTATACCTTACACCTACAGTGAAAATCTAAGTGACTCTCTAATATGCCACTTTTCACACAGTTGGGAGTTCTCACTTAAGACTGATTAAATAAGGGTGAATAGTTGTTTGGTTTGGTTTTCTAGCAACATTCTTTTACTTAAGTAAACAATGTTATAACGTTAAAATAGTAATATTTTTACCAATATTTCTAGAAATATTAAACAAATAAAAAGAGCAAATAGACATTTACACATTGTAAACACATTATCTAACAAGTATGAATTGGGACCAAAAATGAAAATTTTAAAAATTGTCTCTTACAGAATACCAGGAAAAACCTACATGATAATAGCTTTTCTAACTGTGGGTACTATGGGGTTATCAAATACTTCCTTGGGCTACCTGAATTATCCTACCCAAGTCATCTTCAAGTGCTGCAAGTTGATTCCTGTTATGCTAGGAGGAGTTTTTATTCAAGGTATAGTAATGATGTATTTTCACCCTGTTTGAAATTAGTAGAATATGTTATAGCATCTAGCATTAGGAAAAATATTAAACTTTGGTAATTTAATGAACATTTTAGATATTGCAACAATTCTGAGTATATCATAAAAATAAAGCATTATAAAAATATAAAAACTTATGTTCTCTACCTTAGTATCTGAAATCACTGATTTGAACTCAGAATAAAAATATTTCATTTTATTTTTTAATCTGGGATCTACTTATATTTCTAGATATACTGTATTCACATATTGAAGGCCTAGCTCAGAAGTACCTAAGTACCTGGAAAGCTCATCTCATCTCTTTCCGTCTTGTAGTCTTCAGGGCTTTGCTCTCTACCTCCATTATACAAATGAACAGTTTTCATCGTGAAGTAAAGCTTAACCTGGGCAGGACTGCTTTTTTTTGTTGTTGTTGTTTTTTAACCAATTCTGCTGGCTTCCTGATTACCTAGAGCCCCAACCACATTACAAGCTATGCGGAAATAGCAGTAAAGGAGGAGGCAATGGTAGTGAAAAGCAGCAGAACAAGTTGTTGGTATCACCGTCGTGAGGAATATTCATGTTTTGATAAGCACATTTTCTGTATCACTGACATCCTTATACAGCCTGACTTCATTTTGTGCATTAGATGCCTTCCCCCAAAAGCCTTTTTAATGAAAGCATGACAGTGAACTACTTTACGTACAATTTCAGGATAACTGTTCACACAGGAACAAACAATGATCTCAATCCCTATTAAAAATCACATTTAACGTCATAACTAAATGAGCATGTATATTTCCTTACAATCCTTCCAGAAAGTTACACTACATGGTTTGTTATTTAAAAGTGGATATATTAAAATAAGTTAATCCTCATTAAGCTTGCAGCTATTTGATTATGATATTTGCAAACTTAAATAGTTATAGCCTGAATAATTACTTTGTAATAATGGTTACTTTGTAAATGTATAAACTAAAAGAAAATTCATAGCCTTATTTTATACATAAAGAAAAAGAGGCATTCATTTCCATAAACTTCTTAAATGTTCCTATTTACCCACTACCATATCAGATAACAGATAAAATAGAATGTCATATCTAATTTATAAGGACACATTGGTGCTCCCTGAAAATTTAATTTTCAGAAGCCCTTTTTTGACTGTCTAATGACTTGACCTAAGTGTTCTTCATATATTTTTGACATTAGATATAAAAAGTGGACTCTGGTATCCTTGGTTAAACACATAGATCTAACACTATGCTGAGTGGGTCCTTCTACCTGAGGTTGACTTACATTTCTGTCACACAGGCAAGCGTTACAATGTTGCAGATGTGTCTGCTGCAGTGTGTATGAGCCTTGGTCTGATATGGTTCACCCTCGCTGACAGCACGATTGCACCCAATTTCAACCTGACAGGTAAATAATTTTATTGTCTTCCTACATTTTTTAGGCAGTTTGGTTTACAGTAAGAAATTTTACAATTTCAAAAGGATTTTAAATGATGGTATGACATCTATAATTCTCATATCTAACATAAAGTTTTCAGACTTTCCAAATAAGATGTAGTAAAAGTATTACAACTCAGGAAATATAACAATTATTTTTAGTACTCATATATTTTGACATGACAGAGAGCTGTTTGCCCAGTTAAAACCTTGTTATCAAGTACATGATAGATCAGTTTCTTATGGGCTGAATTGGAAATACACATGTGAGTTATAGGAGAATCACAGTAATTTTTTTAAGTTGAAACTTGCACATATATTTTGTCATTGTTTTAGCTAAAAAAGGCATGATTTGTTGTTCTTTGTATTTTTTTTTAATTTTTATTATTTTTTATCATTTTATTGTTAAAGATCTTTCTCCTTTTTTCCCCATTGACACCCTCCTCCCCATGCCCCCTACCCCATCCCGGGCTTTGTTGTCGCTGTCCATTGGTTATGCGTACATGCATATAAGTTCTGTAGTTTATCTCTTCACTCCCCCCAACACTCCTCTTCTGAGGATTGTCAGTCTGTACCCTACTTCCACGTCTCTGTGTCTACCGTATTCCTCAGACTGTTATGTTCATTATATTACACAAATATGTAAGATCATGTGGTATTTGTCTTTCTGCTTGGCTTGTTTCACTTAGGATGATACTTTCCAGGTCCCTCCATGTCGTCTCAAAGGATAAGAGATCTTTCTTTCTTACAGCCGCATAGTACTCCATTGTGTATATGTACCACTGCTTTTTTATCCATTCATTTACTAATGTACACTTGGGCTGTTTCCAGATCTTAACTATTGTAAATAGTGCTGCTATGAACATGGGTGTACATATATTCTTTCTGATTGGTGTTTCAGGCTTCTTAGGGTATACTCCGAGAAGTGGGATCACTGAGTCAAATGGCAATTCAATTTTTAAATTTCGAGATAACACCATATTGTTTTTCATAGTGGCTGTACCAGTCTGCATTCCCACCAGCAGTGCACTAGAGTCCCCTTTTCTCCAACACTTGTTGTTTGATGCTTTGTTGATGGTGACCATTCTGACAGGTGTGAGGTGGTACTTCATTGTTGTTTTAATTTGCATCTCTCTGATGATTAGTGATGTTGAGCATTTCTTCATATATCTCTTGGTCATTTATATGTCCTGTTTGGTGAGGTGTCTATTCAGCTCTTCTTCCCATTTTTTAATTGTGTTCTTTGTCTTCCTTTTGTTGAGTTGTATGAGCACTCTATATATATTGGAAATTAACCCCTTATCTGATGTATCATTGGCAATGATGCTCTCCCACACAGTGGGTTGCCTTTCCATTTTTATAGTTGTTTCTTTTGCTGTGCAGAAGCTTTTGCGTTTGATGTAGTCCCATGTGTTTATTTTCTCCTTTGTTTCTGTTGCCTTAGGTGATGTATCAGTGAAAATTCTTCTGCGTATGATGTCCAAAATTTTGTTGCTTACATTTTCTTCTAGGATTTTTATGGATTCACAGGTCACATTTAAGTCTTTTATCCATTTTGAGTTTATTCTTGTGTATGGTGTAAGTTGATTGTCTAGTTTCATTTTTTTGCATGTAGCTGTCCAATTTTCCCAACACCATTTAATAAAGAGGCTGTCTTCACTCCATTGTATGCTCTTGCCTCCTTTGTCAAATATTAATTGAGCATATTGCCTTGGGTCCATTTCTGGGTTCTCTGTTACTGGTCTATATGCCTGTTCTTATACCAGTACCAGGCTATTTGATTACAGTAGCTTTGTAGTATAACCTAATATCTGGTATTGTGATCCCACCTACTTTGTCCTTCTTTTTTAAGATTGCTGTGGCTATTCGGGGTCTTTTTTGGTTCCATATGAACTTTTGAAGTATTTGTTCTAGTTCTGTGAAGTATGTCGTTGGTATTTTGATGGGATTGTATTCAATCTATAGATTGCTTTGGGTAATATGGACATTTTAATGATGTTAATTCTTCCAATCCATGAACAGGGTATATGCTTCCACTTTTTTATATCTTCCTCTATTTCTTTTTTCAATGTCATGTACTTTTCTGCATGTTGTTTTTTGTTTTTATTTATTGTTAGTCCTCAACTGAGAACAATTTTTCATTGATTTTTTTTTAGCTAGAGTAGAAGAGAGCGAGGGAGAAAAAGAGAAAGAAACATCTATGTGAATGAGACACATCGATTGGTTGCCTCCTACACAACCCCAGCCAGGTCAGGGATCAAACCTGCAACCCAGGTACATGCCCTTGACCGGGAGTAGAACCTGCGACCCTTTAGTCTGTGGGCTGACATTCTAACTGCTGAGCCAAACTAGTCAGGGTGATATGCTGTGCTTTAGTATTAAACTGGGTGATATAAATATGGTCATAACCTTACCATGCTTCAATTTTCTAGTAGTGTGCCATGTGGAAATTTTTAAATTAATTTTAGATTTGTTCACGAGCAGAATAGGTATTATAGTATGTTTAGAAATAAGTAAGAATAAAATATGTGTTAGAATCTTGTTTTCATTCTAAAGACCTTATGGAGAAATTATTTATATATACATGTTATCCTTAACTATTGAATTTTACTCATAAGATTATTTTAGTATCATCCCGTCATCTACCCTGACATTAATAATATTTAAAATATCTAGCTCTGGCCTGTTTCACTCAGCAGTTAGAGCGTCGGCCATTGGACGTAAGGGTTAAGGGTTTGATTCCGAGTCAGGGGCATGTGCCTAGGGTGCAGGTTCGATCCCTGCCCTGGTCAGGGTCATGCGGGAGGCAGCCAGTCGATATGTCTCTCTCACATCGATGTTTCTCTCTCTTTCCCTCCTCCCTTCCACACTATCTAAAAATCAATAGGAAAATGTCCTCAGGTGAGGATTAAAAAATAAAATATAATAAATAATTTAGAAGGTTGTAAATAAATAAAATATCTAGGTCTTCAAAGGAACTCTGGGAGAACAGGAAAAAAATACACACACGTTTGTATAGTACAAAGTATAGTAAGTGTAGTGTAATTGTATAATTATTTGTGAGGAAAAAGCATTACATAGTGAAGAAAGTCATTTACATCAGCTTCATATTCTTACCTGTTGTTAGTCAACCTTTGTTACTAATCTGGTTAACGAGGCTGAGTAAGAGATTTGAATGTAACCAGTTCATTCAGCATCTTGGAGCCGTCCTCGAAGAACCAGAGGACCTGGTAGAACCTCTTACGTCTGTTCTGTCCCCTTGGGTCATTCGAGTGCAAGAGATCCTTACTTCAGTGAGCTTTACTCAGAAAGCTTCTAGTTGCAGGTGTTTCTAACATGGTTTACATTTTTCAGAAACAGTTTGTTTTCATGTCCACAAATCTAAAAGGAAGATTATATTTGAAAACTAAGGAAATTGACTCTTCTACTTAATGAAAAGGCAGTTTTCGACAAGGCACAGAACTTGCTATCAGAGGCATGGCTTCACATTCTGCTTGGATCACTTAGAAATTGAACCATGGCTAGAGTGCCACATTCCTTTGCGCTTCCCTTACCCAGAAATGATGATGATAGTACCTCACACAGGGGATGAGGAAGAGCTGAGATGATGAAGTAATGGGTGTGAGAGCACGTACACTCGGTGCGGTGGGGGTGATGGTGGTGATGGAAAGAGGTGGTCTGTAACATCTCACTATAGCTAAAGTGAATTAGAACCTAACCATTTTTTAGCATTAAGAATAGTTAATGGGCCCTGGCTGGTTTGGCTCAGCGTTTAGAGCATTGGCCTGCAGACCAGAGAGTCCTGGGTTCGGTTTCAGCTAAAGGCAGGTACCTCGGTTGCAGTTTGTCCTCAGCCCCGGTTGGGGTCAGGTGGGTGGCAACCACTCGATGTGTCTCTCTCACGTTGATGTTTCTCTCTCTCATCTCCCCTCTCTCCCTCCCGCTCTATCTGAAGTTAAATGTGGCAATGTCCTCGGGTGAGGATATTAAAAAAAAAAGAATAGTTAATGGTCCTGGCCCATTTGGCTCAGCGGTTAGGGCATTGGCCTGTTGGCCAGTGAGTCTCAGGTTCAATTCCAGTCAAGGGTGCATACCTCGGTTGCAGTTCGTCCTCCGCTGTGGTCGGGGTTGTGAGGGAGGCAGCCAGTTGATGTGTCTCTCTCAAATCGATGTTTCTCTTTCTCCCTCTCACTCTATCTGAAGATATATAAAAAAAAATCCTCAGATGAGGATTTAAAAAAGAAATAATAAATTAAAAAAAAAAATAGTTGATGACCCAGCCAGTGTGGCTTAATGGATTGTCATCCCATGGACTGAGAGGTCCTGGTTCGATTCCTCATCAGAGCACATGCCCCGGTTGCAGGCTTGATCTCCAGTAGGGGGTGTGCAGGAGGCAGCCAGTCGATGTATCTCTCTCACATTGATGTTTCTGTCTCTTTCTTCCTCTAAAACATCAATAAAAACATATTAAAAAAAATTATTGAAAGAAAGCATAGTTGAACATTTATCACAATCCTTGATCTATAAAATTATGTTATCTAAAGGAAGTTAGATTAACTATTACAATGGTTAAGATAGACATAAATAAAACTTTGATTGTATGAAGGGGTATATCAGATTTATTTATTAACATAAATGTCCACCTTAAAATATTCCCCTTGGGATATAATTCAGGTATTGTCATAACAGTATTTCATGTTGCCCTGGCTGCTTTCACTCGGTTGGTTGGGCATTGTCATGTGCACCGAGTTGCGGGCTCAGTCCCCTGTAGGGGTCATGCAGGAGGCAGCTGATCGATGTTTCTCTCTCACGTCGACATTTCTCTCTCCCTCTCCCTTAATGTCTCTCTCAAAAGATAAAAAATTTTTTTTAGAAAAAATATTTCATGTTGCCATTGTTCAGAACAATTTTAATGGAATGTCTTTGAATAGCCATTTTTAGGAGCGAGGCCATTGTTTTCTGGATTTTCAGTAATACCATGTCTTTTTCTTTTGAGGACAGATTTGATATTTGAAACAAGTAAAAGAACATTCAGAATCAAGTTTGGTGAATAAAAATGCATGAATAGGTAATTCCTAAGTTAGATGATAGAAAGTCAAATTGAAGAATAAGTATGAAAACTTGAAAATTCTCTAGTGCCTATATGTGTACATACATTTTCTGCTCTCTTTGATTCTTTTCATTAAAAAAATAAAAAGAGAAAACTCCCTTAAATTTCATCAGACTCCCAGATGTAACCAAGGCTGCTCTTTTTCTATAAAGCACCATGACAGGTGACCAGTGTCCTGAAAACTCGCAGTTTAGCACCTGCTTCTCTGCAGATATGCACATCTGTATGAGTGTGTTGGTTTCTGGATTTGTTTATGCCAGTTGTACCTGTTATTATAATTATGCAGTAATTACATGTTTGTTTGAATTATTCAAACTGAGGTTGAAAAAAGAACTGTTTTTGTAAAAACTAAGTTAATTGAAACAATTTGGTTGACAAGTCAGTAAAAGCACAATTACGTGTGGATGGAAGAACTGTAAAAATTGGGAGATACCATAAAAATACGAAAGGATTCTACACCCTGATTGTTTCAGAAGTTCCTGAGTTTTTGGTGTACTATATTTTTATGCCTCGGGTACATGAAATTGTGTGTGTGTGTGTGTGTGTGCGTGCTTTTTAACCAAAACAACTTGGAAAACATAGAGAATGTGTTGTTTGAGTGTGGTTTAAACAAAAGAGAAAGGGAAGAATTTTATTTAGGATCCCTACTGAAAGAAAAGACCTTGGCAGCTGCATTCATGTTTATGTGTTTTAAATTAAACATTTTAATAATAAAGGTAATTTTTTTATGATTTCCCTCTTCATCTGATTTTTTAATTAAACGACTGACCACCAATCAGTACATCTTCTAGGGATTTCTTCTATATTTCACACTGTTTCTTTCAAACATATAATCTAGCAGAACAATCCTTTGACATGAGAGGGAAACACAATAATGGTGACAGCATCAATGCAGTTATTGGTGTTAGCTACTTTTTTTTAAGGCATCGCCTATGTGACCTGTGTGCCTGTTACAACTGGTTGTAGACAAAAATACTCAACTTTGTGGAACAAATGTGATTAAGATCTTTTGTTTTTAGCCCAATTCCATCTTTGAAAAATCTTGATTATCATTCCTATGCTTAAATAAGGAGGTGGTTTTCTTCTTGTGCCTTCTTGAAGGTGTGGTCCTTATTTCCCTGGCGCTGTGTGCAGACGCTGTCATTGGAAATGTTCAAGAGAAGGCCATGAAGCTGCACAATGCCTCTAATTCCGAAATGGTGAGTATTCTAGTACTTTTTACTTAACATCAGACACTGTCAAAATGGTGATACACTTAATTTTATTAAGTAGTTACGGTATTGAAGACTAGCATTGCATTTTAAAACTAGTGTATCATTGTTTTTATAAAAGTAATGCATCCAAACATAGAAAGATAAAAAATAAAAATGCTGCTTATAACTTATGGTATGGTATTTGATAAATTTTTCCTCAGTGATAAATATTTTTAACATTTTAAAAAAAATTACTTGGTACATCATTTTTCTCCTGTCTTTGTATTTGGTATTATTTTTCATTTAGAAGTTTTTAATTTTTCTGTGGTCCAGTTTATCTTTTCCTTAAGCTTCTGGCTGTATTTTATTATTAAAAAGGGTTTTCCTGACACTAAGATTTAAGAATTTTACCCAAGTTGCCTCTTAATTTTATGATTTCCTTTTTTTATTAAATCTTTGATCCACCGAAAACTAAAAATTTTCTTCCATAAGGCTATTCACTCATCTCAATATCATTTATTGAATAATCCACTTTTTCAATTTATTTTAAGTGCCTTCTTTATTACTTCATAATCTAATGTAGCATCCCGCATTGTATTCTTTTAAATTTATTTCTGTACCAGAACCACATGATAACAGCAGCTTTATCATACATTTATCCTCTTTTAGGACTAGCCACCATTGTTCCTTTTGTTTTTCAGAGTATTACTACCAGTAGTTATTCTTGGGTGTTCATATCCCCAAATAAACTAGAAATCCCATTGGTATTGTGTGTGATTGGTATGGCATTGAATTATAAATTAAATTAGGGAGAATGACATCTATACCCTTGATTCTTTCAATCCAAGACTAAGGTATGGTTTTCCTTTTATTCAAGTATTCTTTTTAAAATGTCCCTTAGATTTTAAAGTTTTCTTCATATCAATCTAGCATATTTCTTTTGAAGTTAATTTTTGGTATTTCACCTTTTTGCCATTGTTACCACAAATAATGCCTTTTCTTCCAACGTATCTTCTAACTGATTGGTATTTGTATATAGGAAAGTGATTGTCTCTGTGTTTATATTAATTTTATAGCCAGATATCTTGCTACACAGACAGAGCAGACTACATTAAGGATATGTAGGACTAGCCTTTCCTGTTTCTTTGTTAGTGTAGTGTGTACACTCTAGGGAGCCCTTAGAGACATAGGAACTTTAGCCTTGGTCAGCATTTTTTTGATCATCACCACCACTCTTCCTAGATAAGGTGAAGATAAGAGAATTAAGGAAGTGTAGGTAGTTAGAAAGATAATATAATACAGTGGTTAAGACCAGAGGCTCTAGTCTAAGATAGCTTCAGTCCAGATCCTAGTTTTACTACCACTTTCATTTGGGGGAAACAGCAATATCTTTATGTTTTAGTTTCTTCATCATTAAATTATGAAATGATGATTAAAAGTACTTACATCATAGGTTGGTTGTGAGAAATAATGGAATAATCCATCATTAGCACATAACAGGTACAGTAAAATCTTGATATAACGGACTGATTTGGGCGAGGGGGTGTCCTTGAAAGTCGAAAGTTTGTTATGTAATAAAGTAGGTTTTCTAAACGCGTATGTTAAAAATATTGACTAATTAGTTTACCTGTTTTTCCTCATGTAGATACGTTTGTGTAATTAAAATCAAGTATGTATGAAAGGTATTGCTATAATTTGAAATTCATACTGAATAGGTCTAGTAAATGCCCGCATTCACCAGTCCAGAGAGCAAACAGATGCACTTGGCTGGAGTGTGGCTTAGCGCACGTGGGAACGTCGGCCTGCACACATTCAAACTGCTGCAGAAGTTACGCCACGTAACAACAGGACCAGTTACCTGGGTGCAATGCAGTGTGATCGCGTGCTGATCATTCGCATTGTTTACAAGCAGTGACTCTTGGGTTTAAATATGTAGAACATAGTTGTTGATATGTAATATTTATTTACATCAACAAAATTACAGTGTTTTTTTAACTTATGGCCTATTTGCTAAAATTTAAAATAGCAGTGAATTAATACCAAAAAATAACCTGTTAAGTTCATTATAACCAAATCTTGGCTAAAAGCATCTTAAAATTAGCAGGGTGTAAATTTTCACATATGACATATGGTCCATTAAATCCGAAGTTCGTTAAATCGAGGCCCACAGACCAAAAATTTACTGTAAGTTTGAATCTGATTCTGCTTATGGGGAATGTAACAAACTGGGATGGAAAGATTGGTAGGAAAATTGCAAAATTAAGCAATAAGTATGCAATATACTGCTTATTTTTGTTATACTTTAATGTATTTGCAAACTTAATGTTTTAGTTTTTTCATGTTTAATAAGTAGCTATACAGCTTTTTTGTTGTTTTTGTGTATGTTTTTAGAGTCTTAGCATTAAAACCTGGTTTGAATTTAGTAATTAGCCAGGCAAAAAATGAATAATTATGTAACCATATACAAAAGGATTGGTAATGCTGTGCAATGTTGCATATAAAATAAAGCATTGACTTATAGTTAGGATCAGCCATCATTTCGAGAAATTTAAGCCATATTTGAAACAATGCTGTTACTTTAAAAATGGTTTGTTCTACAAATTTAATTGATAGGTTAATTGAGCCACATGTTGAAAATTCTTCATTTTCTACTTTTGGTCTGATATCACTTTTTTCCACTTTATGTTTATCTACTCTAGGTTTTGTATTCGTATTCAATCGGTTTTGTGTACATTTTATTGGGACTGACGTGCACTAGTGGATTGGGCCCTGCAGTAACATTTTGTTCAAAGGTAAACACTAATCACATCTTTAAAAATAAACATCTAAATAGTTTCCTCCATATATCTAATTCCCCATGTTCAAAAGAATATGTAATTTGATAACTCCTTTATATACAGATCAGAAATTATTTCAGAAATGAAATGATTTATATTTAAATTTATCCTTGCTCCTACCCTGTAAGTTAATGTTTAAGCTATTCATGACGTAGAAGTTACAGATTTCAAATTTCATCATTATTTTTCCATTAAATCAAAACTAAATAAGCATCTTTGCTTGACTGCATTGTTGCATGGCTTATTATTGCTCAAGAAGTTGATTAAAATTTGTGATTTTTATTTCATTTGTAATACCTCAGGGTTTGTTTTGAATTTTTCTCACAGGCTTTTTTATATGTTGCAGAATCTAATTCAGACCTACGGTTATGCTTTTCTTTTTTCCCTCACTGGGTATTTTGGAATCTCCTTTGTTCTGGCTTTGATTAAAAATTTCGGTGCACTTCTTGCTGTAACAGGTAGGAATGATATACTTACTTAGATTATGAAATAAGCATTTAAATGTTCTCTGATGCTCTTTTCCAAAATCTAAAGGCAGCATTTACTCTTTATTAAAAAGAAAATTGTCATATTTCACCAGTTTATTCCTGAGCTTATGGTATTTTTTTAATTCTAAAGAAAATTATATTTAATCTTAATTTCTCATTTGAAGGTTTAATTTTAAAATCAAATATATACATTTATCTAAATAGTAACTTTTAAATACATTAAAAGAACTTTTTATTCAAACGAATGAAGAGATGAACAACTTCACAGAAAAGTAGTAGCTTTATACACTTTAATTTATAACTGAAAATTACAGTTTGTTGAATTTAAATTGTGACAGTTGTATTTTGAATAATGCTTTGAACACTTTCCAGGACATAATCAGATGAGCTTCTCTTTTTACTAGCAATTATTAGGCACCTGCTTTGTGCAGGGACTTTGCTCACACTTTAGAGGAATGGAATTTGTATTTGTTCTGCTTTGGAGGAGCGAGGGGAACAGATGAGGGGCTACAGGTGAGGTCTAATGAGGGCAACAGACGGCTCCCAGTGCTACCTTGTATTGTTTGCCCCATGAACAGTACGGGTGACCAGTGCTCTTGGTGTCCCCTGTGGAGGGAGCCCTGAAGCCGGGCTCGCAGGCAGTGGGAGAACTCTAGTTGGCCGGTTCAGAGAAGGTGGAGCCCATCCCAGCTCTGATGCTTAATGACGGGACCTGGGGAGTAAGTCTCTCTTCTCTGGGCTTCAGTTCTCTCTTTTGTGTACTGATTGGTTAACTTTGATCATTTCCAGCAGAGATCTGTAGAATTTGAATTCATAATACATATATACATTAGTAAGTTTCTGATTTTAATTTTCCGTGATTTCTAGAGGAAAACTATTACCACAGAGTAAATTAAACAAATGAACAAATACCTCTCTCTTTATACAAGTATACTTGCGCCATGGATGGTTTGGCTCAGCAGTTAGAGCCTCAGCCAGTGGACCAAAGAGTCACGGGTTTGATTCCGGTCAAGGGCATGTACCTCAGTTGCAGCTGGGTCCCTGGCCCTGGTCAGGGTTGTGCGGGAGGCAACCAATCGATGTGTCTCTCTCACATCAGTGTTTCTCTCTATCCCTCTCTCTTTTTCTCTCCTCTCTCTCTTTCTCTCCCCCTCCCTCATACTCTATCTGAAGATAAATGGAAAAATACCCTCAAGTGAGGATTTAAAAAAAAAAGAATGTATTTGCTTTCTAACTTTTCTCTTTTTTTGCTCTGGTATGACTCTCTCCTTACAATTTACATTCCTAATGATAATAGCATGAATTTGATTGTAGATCAAGCTGTATCACTAATATTTCAATTCATCTCATGCTGTCAAGAAGGATTGCAAATTAATATACTTAGTTTGGGTTCTAATTTTGCTTGTAAAATAACTGATTAAAGGTGATTGTTCCATCAATGGTATGCATTGGTTGAGCCCCGTGGTTCGTATAAAGAAATGTGAGATACAATCCTGATCTTGAAGGTGCAGGCTGGTTTATTTCTCTCTCATGAAAGAAATCCAGAAGTGGGGATAATAATGATAGCTAATATGCACATAGCCTATTTCAGGTATTTACATGTATTATTTATCTTAATTTTGAAATGACCATATTATGTACTCACTGTTATTGTTCCATTTTGCAAAATGGCAAACTTAGACACAGAGAGTTTAAGTGTCTTGCCCAATAGCCAGCTGGCTTGTAAGTTGCAGAGTCAGGATTCAGCTGAAGTGGTCTGCCTCCAGCCCTGTGCTCTGACCCTGTGCGCTAGGCTGCCCCTCGCGCTGTTGCGGTATCGCCGTGCTCATCAGGAACCAGGCTCCTATGTGCTCTGCCGTCTTCATCCTCATCTCAGGCAGTGAGATGGAGAGAAGGTGAAACACGCCTTTCTCTTGATGGAAACTTCCTAGAAATCAAACTCCTAGAAACAGCACTTCTCACATTTTCATTGGCCAGAACCTCATCACATAACCACACCTAGCTCTAGGAGAGACTAGAAGATATGCCCATTTTTCAAGAAGGGTCTTTTTATTAAAGTAAAAGAAAAGACAGATTTGGGGAATCAGACTCTGACACATTTCCAGACATTTTCTTCATTTGGTGGTCATTCGTTCATGCCTTGAATATTAAGTGCCAGGAGCTACTGAGTCTGCGAATATAAGGATGAACGAGGCAAGGAACTAAGTAAAGCACACAGTCTAGCGGAAAGATTGCAACTGATAATGCAAAGTGAGGGAAAAGCTATAATGGAGATATATGCAGCTTTCCTGTCTCTGCCTGGGTGGGACTGGGGAGGAAGGTTTCAGGCCTTACAACAGACTTGGAGGTGATAACTTCAAGGATAAAGTAAAAGTTAATACAGACAAAGAGTACTGTAAGGATTACTCATAGTCTTAACCAGAGATGATGACCACTATGAAGATATTAGGTTGCTACTTTTAAAGGATAACCCTTGCTCCACCTAATCATAACTTCTTTGCAAAAGCCTTTCTTTCCTGCCAGACTAAGTAAGTCTCTCTAAGGGATGACATGCCCCCTCGTGTCATGGCCTCCATCAAGCATTTATTGCAGTTGTGCTTTAACATTTATGTCATATTTAATGTCTGTACCCCTACTAGACTACAAATTCCACAGGAGCAGCAACAGTGACTTTTTGTTTGTTTAGTTTTGGCTTTCTCTTGTTTCTTTGCACCTCACAGAGATCCTGGCACACAGTGGGCTTTGTAAATATCTGTTGAATGAATGATTTCCAAAAGATTTCTGGGATAGTATGCACATTCTAAACCAACCTTTTCCTCCCTACAGTGACAACAGGAAGAAAAGCAATGACCATTGTACTTTCATTTATATTCTTTGCCAAACCATTCACATTTCAGTAAGTACTTTTTAATTCAATAAGTTTCTCTGCATTTAGATACTTTGTTTCACATGTCCTCTGGAACGGCCTTAATTCTTTATAAAGCATATATTTTTTCTCTGCCCCTAATTTATTGATGTCTTCTGCTGTTTCAGAAATGTATGTAATTATTGTATAGAAGTCATTTTGTACACTTAAATTCTCTAACCAGAGTCCCAGAGCAAATGTGATCCTGTTTGCAGTATGAATGAATGTGAGTGATGTGTTGAGATTAAGGGATTCATTCGCCCTTGCCCTTGTGCAAATATAAATTTTATAAATATATATTTATATATGTTTGAAATTGTTGGTTTATATGCTGCCTTTTCTCACCAAGGAGTGAGGTAGAGAAGCACTGTGTCGGTTGTGCTCTGATGATTTAGTCCGCGGCTCTTTGTGAAAACCTTTGCTGTTTTCTTCACTGTCAAGATGCGTTTGAAATTAGCATCATTTAAACTTACTTTGACTGGGAATTGAGAAGATTCAAACCTAGAAATTATCAATGTGTAAAATTAAAGGGAACCACAAAATAAAAGTCCATCTATGTATTGTTTTCTATAAATTGATTACTCTTTCTGCATGTGGTAGGTACATTACATTATATAGTAATCTTTGTCAGTTTCCCTTTCTCTGGATGTGCCCCTTTTTATCTCTATTTTCTACCCCACTGGGAAGACTAGTTGGATGGCTGTATTGTATTTGCAAGATGGCCTTGGGCAGATTTACGAATCCTGCACTTGAATTATACTTGTAAGACTTCTGGTAGGAGTTGGACTTTGAATTTTCTATTATCTTAAAAGTCAAATGAACTATATTTAGTATTTTATAAAATACCTATTTCTATATGGACCTAACATTAAAAGATATGAAATGCTACAGTGGAGTAGAGGCAGCCTCTTTAATAAATGGTGTTGGAAAATTGGACAGCTACATGCAAGAAAATGAAACTGGACCATCAACTTACACCATACACAAAAATAAACTCAAAAAGGATAAAAGACTTAAATGTGACCCGTGAATCCATAAAAATTCTAGAAGAAAAGGTAGGCAACAAAATTTCGGACATTCATACGCATCAGAATCTTCAGTGATACATCACCTAAGGCAACAGAAACAAAGGAGAAAATGGACACATGGGACTACATCAAACTAAAAAGCTTCTGCACAGCAAAAGAAACAACCGTCAAAATGGAAAGGTAACCCACTGTATGGGAGAACATCATTGCCAATGATACATCAGATAAGGGGTTAATTTCCAAAATATATAGAGTTCTCATACAACTCAACAAAAGGAAGACAAGGAACCCAATTAAAAAATGGACTGAGGAGCTGAATAGACACCTCTCCAAACAGGACATACAAATGGCGAAGAGACATATGAAGAAATGCTCACTAATCATCAGAGAGATGCAAATTAAAATAACAATGAGGTATCACCTCACACCTGTCAGAATGGCCGCCATCAACAAATCATCAAACAACAAGTGTTGGCGAGGGTGTGGAGAAAAGGGGACTCTAGTGCACTGCTGGAGGGAATGCAGACTGGTGCAGCCACTGTGGAAAACAATATGGTGTTACCTCAAAAAATTAAAAATTGAACTTCCTTTTGACCCAATGATCCCGCTTCTAGGAATATACCCTAAGAAGCCTGAAACACCAATCAGAAAGAATATATGTACTCCCATGTTCATAGCAGCACTATTTACAATAGCTAAGATCTGGAAACAGCCCAAGTGTCCATCAGTAGATGAGTAGATAAAAAAGATGAGGTACATATACACAATGGAGTACTATGCAGCTGTAAGAAAGATCTCTTATCCTTTGAGACGGCATGGAGGGACCTGGAAAGTATTATCCTAAGTGAAACAAGCCAAGCAGAAAAAGACAATACCACATGGTCTCACTTATATATGGAATATAATGAATATAACAGTCTGAGGAATAGGGTAGACCCAGAAACACGGAAGTAGGGTACAGACAACCCTCAGAAGAGGGGGTGGTGGGGGGTGGGAATAGATAAACCACAGAACTTATATGCATGTATGCATGACCAATGGACATGGACAACAAAGCCGGGGATGGGGCGGGGGTGGGGAGGATGGGGTGGGGGTGGGGGGGATGGGGAGGAGGGTGTCAATGGGGTAAAAAAGGAGAAACATCTATAACAAAAATAAAATTAAAAAATTAAAATTAAAAAAAGATATGAAATGCTTTCTGATCTAATCTAAAACTACTGTTTTTGTTTTAACACTATTATTGTAGGCTTCCCATTGCAACATTTTATTTTATTGCATAGTTTTAGTGAATTTATCACCAAATTCTGTGGTCAATAATAAATTGTAACCTTAATATTAATCTTTTTGTATTTCCCTTTTCTCTTAGGTACATATGGTCCGGTTTGTTAGTTGTCCTCGGTATATTTCTCAATGTTTACAGCAAAAATATGGATAAAATAAGATTACCATCACTATACGATCTGATAAACAAAACTGTGGAAGTGAAAAAATCAAGGACGTTGGCGCAAACTGTATAGGCAGGGGTTCTTGCTGTTCAACATAGAATTCTGAGGGACCAATCAATCATCAATTACCTAACTTTCCGAAGGGATTATTATGAAAACCAAAGGATCTAAGAGCGTGCTCTCCATTGTGATGGGACCACGTGCAGGCGGTCCTTTCTTCCGAGCAGCTGGACTGTTGGGCGTCTGCAGCCACATCCGTGGAATGATGTGTCAGTACAAAGGACTGTCATTATTAGCAGTTTATTGAGAATTCACTGGAAATGGGCCATGTTGTAAGACTAATTAGACACCTTTACGGCATATCAGAGAGAGAGGCAATAGCAGACTGTTTTGTCCTCATTCCGTTTTGGTGGTGTTATTTAAATTGATTCTCTGTTATAAGAGTGAACTGATGATTTAAAGTCTAGAGAGAGTAACTTCACTATAAATAAAAATTATTCTGTGATTTTTTTTTTAAAGAATGCGTTGATAGAATCTTTTATGAAGAAGGAAGTGAAGAATTGGAGTATGACTTGACATGAACTTTAAAACTTAAGGCTTTCTCTGATAATTTAAACATATTCTTTAGAGAAAACATGCTTTAAGTTTCCTGCGAAATCCAGACAATATAGTAAAAGGAGTCATCATACTGCATCCTGCAAGTATATATCACAAGAAAAATTTGCTACTACTCATCAAAGGGGTGCTAAAAGATTTAATCACTTGGATTTTTTAATTGAAGGGAAAATAATTAATGTCTTAAATTATTATAAAATAATAAAATTGTCATTGTTTTTTCTATACAATTTACGTTGGCAGGTTAAATTCATTTTATGTGAAATACAAGTAGATATAGCAAATTAGTACAGTTTGAGTCTAAACTCAAAGATTTTGGCCATAATGTTTTAGCAGTGAGTTTTGGAATTGCTTCCACTATATTAAAAAAAAAAAAAAAAAAATCTTTATATTCAGTATAAGTAATATTGATTTTAACATTTTGGTATCTGTGCTATTGGTAATAACACTTATATTTTTCCATTATAATATACTTGGAATATTTAATCTCAATTCTTAAAATTCTATTGTATAATGATGGTGACTGTTCTGTGCATATGTGGGTACAGCAGAGCCCCTGATATCTAAGGATCTAGCATAAGAAATGCTCACTGGTTTTTATTTGTTACATGTTAAAATACTGTGGGGGGGGGCGGTTCCCCAAAAGGTCATCATTTTTCAGTTTCCATATTTTCAAATGAAAAGAATCTTAATTTCTACTTTATTATGCTGCCTTAAACTCTAAGACAATAAGGATTTGTGCTTTTTAAAAAGTTAATTTTTCCAAATCCTTGATAAAACATTGTAATTTTAACTTATCAGGGCACCCTTTACCCCCACGCTTTTCCAATTTTTTACCAGTCTGCCTATTACGCACTCATCACACTCCCCAATTTTAAACAGTTTAGCACTGTTTAAAAAGGCAGTTTTCCAGCCTAACCCTTTAACTCCATTTCCTTTTTCTACCTGCCATCAGATGGAGATAACCTTTATCTCACTCACTTGTATCCATGGAGTTGTCTTAATGAATAGTCTGAAATACAGAATAATTTCTATATTAAATCAAAATTTGAATGTATACTTGTGCCAGATTGTATTATATGATCTTTCATTGATATTATCACATGTCATCCCAATGACCAAATAAATAATAACAAAGGAATTAAAAATAATAATTACAATTGCCAATGTTTAAGCGCTTGTTAGGTATCAGGCACTATTATAAGTGCTCTGTATATAGTAACGTAATCCTCACAACATCTCCCTGAAGTATTACTACCCTCATTTGCGGCGAGGAGGCTGTGGCCGAGGAATTCAGTGCCATCCCAGCCTTACAGAGCTGGAGAGAGCCAGGAGTGTCTGCCAGGCACTGTGGCTCCCGAGTCCATGCTCTTAACCACTGTGTTGCCTCTCTAAGTAGATGTGATTATTCATGTTCACATTTTTGCAAATACAGAAGTTGAGGACGAGCTCACAATCACATAACTATTACGGGATATTTTCTGTCCATTGGACCCCACTATGAACATTTAAATAACCCAGAGTAACATGATAAGTGATGAGGTGTCTCTAAAGAATCTGAGATATACTTAAATGGGTAAGCAAGGATCTTTCAAGTGGAATGCTATAGACTAGTAAGAAGCGAGGAAATTCCAGGACAAGTGGGATAGGGAAACAGTGTGAAACAGCAGTTTGCAGCCACCTGGTAAACCTCGCCGTCCCTGAGCTAAGCACACAAGAGTAAGTGGTTTGCACTTCTCCCAACCACAGGGTAAATAGCTTGAATCACTACTCAAGAAGACAGGTAACATCCAATTAGTGCCATTTGCCAACCACACCCAAGGACAGAGGAGAATACATCTCATTTTGGTACATCAGCATAAAGCTCACGAATATTCTATTGATTCTCCCCTATGCCCTCTCCAAAATACCCAGCCTTTAAAACCCCTGAAAACAAAGGTCCCAGTGCCCTCTTTCCCAAGAGCACCCACGCCTCCCCTGAGACAGGCCAGTAAGCCAGGACAAGTGGAATAGGGAAACTGAGACCAGATAGTTAAACAGCAGTTTGCAGCCATCTGGAAAATCACGACGCCAAGCTCTTTCAGCCATCTAGTGAATCCTGTCTTCCCTAACCCAGGGACGTGTAAGAGTAAAGAGTTTGCACTTCTCCCAAACCAGAGGGCAAATAGCTTAAATCCCCCTCTTCAGGAAGACAGCAGAAATCCAGTTAATGCCATTTGCCAACCACACCCAGGGACAGATGAAGTTATGTGAATAAACTTCATTTTGATACATCAGCATAAAGCTGATGAATATTCTATTGACATCCCCTAAAGACCTCCCCTAAACACCCAGCCTTTAAAACCCCTTGAAACAGAGGTCTCAGCGCTAGCTCTCCATCCCAGGAGCACACTGGCACCTGCCCCGCCCCACCCCACCCCTTTCCCCACAGGCATGCATCTCCTAAACTTTAAGGGACCCCAAGTGACTTGCAACCAGGGCGGCAATGGGCAGTGGCAGTTCCTCCTGGGCAACCCCCTGGACCTGGCCCCAAGGCCCCTTTTCTCTGACTTCCAGTGAGCCGAAGCAGACCAGCCTGGGCTCATTTCCCAGCCCTGCCTTGTTTCGCTGTCCCAGCTTTAATAAACATTTCCTAAAATTCACCTGGACTCCTGTTGTGAAACTTTTCCTGCATGAAGTCAAGAACCCACACACTACTGACTGGCCCTAGGTAGACCTGTTCATGGCCAGGTCCCCTTCTTGTAACATTTTGGCACCCCAGATGGGACCCCTAAATGATGACCCTGAAGCATGTCTGTGCCCTTCCATTTCCCCTCTCCGCCCTCGCTGTCGAGGTGCGTTACCCTTGCCCTTCCCTCTCGCAGCTCCATGACAACGGGTGGTGTTCTGTCCTGGCCAGCGATGGCACTGTGACTCATGCTTCATTACTGCTAAGCCGTCATCCTAGCTGCCTTGGCTTGAAAGACCTGACTGTGTCTTCTCTCCTCCTTGCATCTTTTTCTCTGGCAAAGGGGTTTTCTCCCTCTGCAGATCGCCATACTCTGGGTACAGGAGGAGCACTTAAGATCCATTAGGATGCTCCCCACTTTTAAAGACTCCTGTGATCAGGGTAAGTTAGTCACGGACCGAAGAAGTTTGTACAAGGCACCCTGCCTACTGCAAGACAAAGCCCATGCTCCCAGGAGCTGTTAAATTCACACAAGGCCCCTTTACTCTGACTTCTTAGCTGAAGCAGACCAGCCTAGGCTCATTTCCCCAGACCTTCCTTGTTTCACTGTCCCCAGCTTTAATAAATGTCCCCTAAAATGCATCTGAACTCATACTGTAGAACTTTTCCTGCACAAAGTCAAGAACCCACACACTACCAGCTGGCCCTAGGCCAACCTGTTCAGGACCAGGTCCCTTTTCTGGTTACACCCCCACCCTTTCCTTCCCCTGCCCCAGGCATGCATCTCCTAAACGCTAAGGGACCCACAAGGCAGCAGCAGTTCCTCCCAGACAAACCCCCTGAACCTGTCCCCAAGGCCCCCTTTTCTCCGCCTCCCAGTGAGCCAGCAGCCCAGCCCAGTCTGCTGCTTCCTCTATGCTCCTCCTTGTCTCGCTGTCCTAAGTATGTTTTTGCTGCAGTCACTAGATTCATGCTCTTCTACACTTTGTCTCTTGGTGGAAATCTTTCCGTTAAGAAGACAAGAACCAAAGTCTCCTCATCTCACTGGTAGCAGGAACATCACATGCAGAGAGATGTATTTGTTTTAAGCAGTATGTAGATATAAATTGTTCCTTCAGCTGTGCTTACATTCATGCATATCATACAGTAGGCACTCAATAAATATGTCATACAAGACTAAACATCAAAGAATATCATTAGACCACAAAAGATAATTAGATAATTGACATTCTGAATTTTGCCGTATTATGTCCCTTTCTTTGACATAGTATTTAGTGCAACAAAATGACATAGCAGAAGAATCTGGCTAACCCTTGTAGGTCACTGTATTAAGATTTGACCTAGAGGTAATCCGGCCCAACCAGAGCCCTCAGTAAGGCCATGCTGTATAATAAAAAATTTGGCTAACCTTTGTCACTGTTTTCTGAAAGGGAGCTTGTAATCCTTGGGATTGCCCAAGTGATGGGACTGTCTTTGTTATTTGTGGTGGTCCCCGGATAATGGCAGGGTGGAAGCTGATCGTGCTAGAAAGATTAACCTTGTTTTGCACCACATGATGATGGCAGCCCAACCTCTGGGGAAAAGAAGTAGGTTGAAGGCTGAATTTAACCATGTGGCCAATGACTCAATTAATCATGGCTATGTAGTGAGGCCCCAATAAAAACTCTGGACACCATCTCTCGGGAGAGCTCACCTGCTTGGAGGCACAGTTTGACATGCCGGGAGGGTGATGCGTCCTGAAGACATGGAATCTTGGTCTTTGTCAATCTTCCAAACCTTTCCCTTGGGTCTCTTGTCAAGTCCTGATTTTTATTCTTTATAATAAAACTAATGGAAATTCTAGTGCTTCCTTGAGTTTTGAGAGTCGTTCTAGCAAACTATCAAACCTGAGGGGACAGTGGGAACCCCTTGAATTTGTAACCAGTTGGGAGCAGGTGTGAGTAGCCAGAAGCCTCAGAGAATGCAGCTGGTGTCTCAAGAGGACAGCCTCGTGGAGACTGTCCATGACCTGTGAAACATGCCCTGACCAGGCAGTTAGAAGTACACTGCAGGCTTTATGCTCAACACATGCTTTTAAATAATCATTACCATTCTCTGGACTGTTATCTAAATCTCTTAACTTTCTCAAGTGATTTATCTTAAATCCACTTTACATTTTAGGTTCTGCCTTGGTCAAGAAGAATTCTAGTAAGATTTGAGTAGGATAATGGACCAATAATACAGCTTAGCATAATGAAAGTATGCATTTCAATATCACATTTGCTCTTAAACTGCACAATGATCAAATTATCAGGCTATGCATATTATTGCTCAGAACCTTTTTTTGTGTGCTTGCTGCCTAATTACACACATGACAATTTTTTCCTAATGTGTTTGAGCAAAAATTTTTTATATTTTCACTTATTCTATCATATGTCCATATTGAATACCCTTGTACTTGCCCA